TATTTTATATTTGTATCCAAAGCGGGTCCTCTTTACTTTGCTGGGGCCCTTTTAGGTGAGTGTGTCCATTCAGCTGGCAGAAGACATAATGACATAAGTCTTGTTAGGGGGACTCATGTCCCTCTTTTATAACTTAATTCTTGTATGTTCGACTTTAAAATACATCTCGCAGACAAACCATAGACTGTGTCAAACTCTGTAAAGTACATATGGGGTTTGACAATAGGAAACCATAATTCAGCCTCAGGATACACTCCTCTAGACTACAATTAATATAAATATCAAATACCACTTCAGTTTCATTGTTAAACTTATTTTTGAAAAAGTAACTGACAAACCCCTTAATATTTCAGCATTTTAATCCACAGAGTATTTTTTAAGTTTGAAAGTGCTGAAACACTCAATCTGAAATGCTCTTTTAATCGAACATATTCGATTCACTGGGAGGATCTATTTCTTCTCAAAAGCTCTGGGAATTTTAGAGTCGTTAATTGTCATAGGATGTTGGATTAAGATTTTAACATTCGTTTTAATGTTAAAATTAGTTTTGAGTCCAAAAGAGCAATTCACTTTTCAGCATGTTCATCATGAGGTTTGCTGAGTGACGCAGTTTTAAATGTACCAAAAATACCATGACCACAACTGTGACATTTCACAAATCAAGAACTCTTGTTTATTGTCTGGTGGAGATTCAGCAGCATCCGTTATTATGATCGACTTTCGACAGTTACTCAGTAAAATATCTTTACACTCAAGCGCTTTATTCCCTTTGTCATGGCAATTTATCCTTTTTACTCAGCCAGTTCAAAGAGACATTTTTGACACCAATAATTTGACAGTTTTACTTAGACGTGAGATCAAGGTTTACAGTTTACAGTCTGTCTGGACATTAGTGAGGCCATGAAGAGGACATTTCCTAATACAGTCCCAGTGGCAGCTCCTCCCTGTGTGCAAAAATGTTTATTGAAGGTTTATATAACGTGTTACCCTTTTACTATTTCAGTATTTCTATCTACTTCTTCCACTTAGTAAAGATGTTTACAATTTAAGTTTCTATTGTTTTTTCACCACTGATGGATGGATAGTTGCTTTTATTAATTAAATAACTAATTTCATGATTGTTCAGGCTTATCTGAACCATAGACCTTGTTTCCTGGGAAAATATTTATCCCTGTGGGGAAAAAACATTGGAAACCTGCGAAGGTGCCAAGTCTCCAAAATACTTTTTGGCTGTGGTACAAACATAGTTAATCACGAATGCCTGGTGGTCACTGAAGAGTGTGGCTTTACAAAACGTTCTGTTGAGTTTTAAAGATATTTAGACTTGTGATCTTTTGATCAAGGCAAATGTAGACAAATGTGAGTTTTGGCTCCCTTAGTAAGATTTGGATATCCATGAAAACAGAAAACAAGAAATATCAAATATTTTATTCTGTACATTTACAATTACACAGAGCAAATTCATTCACACAGGTCTTGTCTTTAGTTCGGCCTTCAGCTCTGACAGTCCAGTGTTGTTCTCCTGGCTTCTGATTTATTTCAGCCTGTTTCATTGTCTTTCTTCGCCTCTCCCTGGTTTTGCTGTCTTGATGTTTTCAGCACCGGCTCAAAATAAGGTCTGTAGATATATAAACCACCAGCAACTCCGAGCAGCATGGCAAAGGCCATCTGTGTGAAAGGGACTCTTCGTCTAAACATGACTCCTTTAGTGATGAAATATGTTGTTGACACAGCAGATACTCCTAAAAGAAAAAGAAAATGGTGTAATTAAAGAGTCTGGCAAGATATTAATCATAAATTGTTGCTTTGATATTGTTAGTTACAAGTTTTTAAATAATCTCCGGTGCTTTCATATTGTTTCTTTGTATGAGCTTTAAGATGTTTAAAATACAGGGCTTTCTTTAGAGCAGTCACCTGGTAACTACACCAGTTTCACTCTGACTGGTTTAAACACCCTGAGTACGAGCATGAGGTTGTGACATTTAAGGAAACACTACAATTTCGGAGCAGTAACAAGATTCGTAAAAACTCCTTAAGTTAATACCATTGATCCTCCACGTCTGGTTACTTTCTACATATGAGTCACGGTGCTGCTGGACACACTGAGAAATGACTGTTTAATTACAGCCACAAATCAAGATCTTATCATGTTTGATGAACCTTAAGAGAAACTGGTGATTCTTGGGGCCTTTATTTAACAATAAAGTAGTGTGATGACTGTATTCTATATTTTTGTGCTGTATTTT